GGTGTTGGTATAACCGTCTGTCGGGTACGTGAAGAGGTCTGCCTGTCTCCTTACCTTGGTCCGGTTTGTCCGGCTGGTGCACGGCCCGTGTGCTGCCAGCTACAGCGCACGTGCCGCGAGCGAAGGTCGCCGGGCTCCGCGGCACCAGACGCCTGTAGTTATGGTCAGCTGGCGCGCGCTACTGGCCGGCTGCGCGCCGCGCTGAGCGGCAGCGGCGCCCTGTCACCACGGCGGCGGCCCCGGTCGCCGTCTGCTCATCTGTTCAGCTGTCCCTCCCTCGGGCCCTGGACGGGTACAGATGGCCGTCCGTCACTCCGTTCTCGGGTTGGCGACACCGCGCTGCCAGCATTTTCGTCAGCCTGTTTGTTCAGAGGTGGCCAAACGGCTCGTTCGTCTGCATGGTTGACTGCCTGGTTTCTCTGTTCTTACAGTGGCAAGTGGTTTGCGACGAAATAATCGTGGGACTATTTCTTGTGGACGCTGGTGCCCAGGATCACGGTGCTATGGTTGGCGAGTGTCGCAAAATTTTAAACCATATCCGGTTGTCATCATTCTACGGCGTGTTTCCGTTTGTTCTTTGCCGCATACTTCCCTACCAATACCAGCATACCGGTCAAGGCAAGGCAGTGGACCCGCATTGCCTGTGCCGTGTCAACGGCTTGTCCCCGTCCCTCCCTGCCGTGTGTACAGGGGAGGGGGGCTGCCCCCTCCCGCCGCCAGGGCGGACGGAGTCCGGTGACGGGGGCTAGCTGACGGGCGCCGTGTTTCAGTCGGGCCGCCGTTCACGCTGCGGCTGCGGATCAAGTTCTACTCGTCCGAGCCCAACAACCTGCGGGAGGAGCTGACCAGGTGAGAGGCCCGCCCGACCCGCTAGGTCGGTGAGAGGCCCGCCTGCACCGCCCCAGGTCGTGAGAGGCCCGCCCGCCCGCACCGCCAGGTCGGTGAGAAGCCCGCCCGCACCGCCCCAGGTCGTGAGAGGCCCGCCCGCCCGCACCGCCAGTTCGGTGAGAGGCCCGCCCGCCCGCACCGCCAGATCGCGGCCCGCAAACCCGGCATGGTGCTGTAGGTTGATCGCCACACGGCGTCAGTTCATTGGCCACTGTCGGTGCTTCTCGTCTCGCTCGTGGGGCTAGGCCCCATGCCAAGCTGTGTGTGCGTTTTTGGTGCCGCGAGCTGCTTCACTCACTCGTTTGTCGGGCTTGCTTCGAGACGTCCCTTGTGGCTGAGTGATATATAGTCGTTGCGCGCGTAATGCCACTTATTATGCCCTGAGCATAGTGCCTGCAGGTGCGTGCTGATCTTTTTACAGCGTGATTGGCACACCGTGTTGCGTGCCTTGCGTCATTGCATCGCCGCAGTTGTTCGTGACCGTCCGTGTCGAATATTTTGTTGCGTTCGAGCGTGGATACTACCACGTCACACTGTGCCAGACATTGGCGCAGGTTTTCCTCGGCGTCCCGTTATTGCTCGGGGTGGGACGGAGCCCACTAGCTTATAAAACGCCCAGACATTTATTGCTTCTTGCAACGATATGTGCGATCTAGGCGAAACAGCCAGAAATGGCGAATGATACCGTCGAATACTGGCAGTCATTAGTCTTGCGTGCAATCCTGCCATGGCATTAGTTGGAAGGTTCTCAAACATCTTAGCCTGAAAATCAGGCGCCGTTCTTGTTCAAAGCTTCTTCCCGAATTTATGTGACTTGTTTTGTGTATTCTGTGAAGTCGTTGCCAAGCGTGCATTTCAAGTTTCCAAACATGCGAACCTGTGTTTGTCGTGGTTGGGCTGTGGAACCAACTGACAAAAGCGATGTAGCCGTCACCTTTTCCTGCGAGTCACGCTGTCCGATGTCCCGAAGCTCCACTGCCGCCCATTCGCTGGCTCTCCAGAAAACCGTAAACCGGGGGATACTTCCGGCTTTGATCTTTATAGGACGTACGGGATCTAGGGAGCCTACTGCCCCATGCAGTGGGCTCAGATGGGTCCTCCAGTCACGAGTGCCCATAAATTCACGTTCCTGTCATTGGTTCGCGCCTGTAAGAACAGCTCCCTCCAGAACAGCTCGCTCTTCATGGAGATGACCTGCCTTCCTTTGTGGCACTGTCGATGTAATGTCCTGCCGATGACCTGAAGCGTTTGGCCCAGCGTGCCATCCTCGCATGCCGTGCACCCTGAGGTCCCTGCACGCGCCCCGCGCGCCCCGCCAGCTCCAGCTGTGGTGGCCGCTCCAGTCTGGCGACAGGCGGGCCGTCAGCCCCGGACCCCGGCTAATTCCTGTAATTGGCGAGTGAGGGCGGCCGCGGCGCGCTCGGTAACGGTGACGCGGCCGCGACGGGCCAGGTCGACCGGAGCCGCGCCGCCCGCGCGCAGGCCGGCCGGCGCGCCTCCGCGCCGTGCGGCCCGCGCGCGCGCTTACCGTGGCGTGCCCGGCGCCCCGCTGCCGTCGCGCCCAACCGGCACAAAGGCGACGTGGCCGTCACCGGGCCCTGCGCCGCCCGGTGCGGCCGGCGGACTGGCAAACCGGTGTCGTCCCCGCCAGACGGACGGCTGCTCGATGCCCGCCTTCACACGGCACCGCCCTGTCTGCAGCGGCGGCGCGCCGCTCGGCGCTGAGCCGGGCGGCGCGCGTGCGGCCGCCCGCCGCGCGCGTAGGCCGCGCTGCGCCGGCCCGCCGTCCGCCCGCCGCCGGCCGGGGTCGAAATGTCAAGCGGCCGGGCCCGCGGCGGCGTGATGTACGCAGCCGGCGCGGCGGCGGCGCGGCGGCGCGGCGGCGCGGCGGCGCGGCGGCGTTAGGGTCGGGGACCGGGCGGCCGCTGTCGCCGGGCTGCGCCTCCGAAGGTTGCCACCGCCCCCAGTAACCGGGCGCCGTCCGTTGCAGGTACCTGTTCTTCCTGCAGCTGAAGCAGGACCTGCTGTCGGGCCAGCTGGAGTGCCCGCAGGAGACGGCTGTGCAGCTGGCCGCTCTATGCGTGCAGTGTGAGTGCCGACAGGGGCCCGACTGGCCAGCACACTGCCTGCTTATGGCGCCAGAAGGCCGGTCGCCTCGCATTATTCATGCTGGATAACGGCGGGATTGGTGCTTTGATTATCTTACCTAGACCGGCCTGACATAACGCAACCCTCCGATCCGGAGTCCTCGATCTGTTTGGTGTCTCTTTCGTCATGACCCTGATGCATATGATTGGGGTCGATGGGACGGGCTCGATCCAGCATCGCTCGGCGTGTGGCTCGCGTGCGTTGGCTGTGGCGTGAGACGTCAGCGGCAGTAGGCGTTCGCAGCCAGTGAGCCCAGCGGCGGCCCCAGTGGCATCGTCCCCCGACGGTGTCCGCTGTGTCTTCCCGTGGGACCCCGACATGAGACCTTCGTATGTCGTCCCGTCATATTATCGACGGAGCCCGGGCCCTGTGGTCGGCGTCCCCATCACGCAACAAACACCACCGGGGCGGAGAGGTGGGGGACTGGAGGCAGGGAGGGCCGCCTCCATCGGGTTCGATGGACTTTTCTCATGGTCGCTGACGTGTGAGGAAGCATTTTGGGTATATCCACACCTCGCCCGCGTGAGCCGAATGTGCTGAACGTGGGGTTATGGGCTGGGAACTGGGGAAATAACGCGGATACAGCGCCGGTGTAACACGTGGCCCGTCAAGGACGGCATTACAGGGATTGGCCTACCAGAAACGTGTTCTCGCCTTGATTTCGGGGGGGGGGGACCAGTAGAAATCCTGATCTGACTGGATGGATTCTGACCATCGGAAATATTGTCACCGGTGCGTTTTGTCCTAGACCTCAGCACTGTGAGCTGTCATGCCACCACAGTCGACACACTACTGTGTTTTACCCACCCCTTACAGCGTCCGTGCTGGAGCGAAATGTGTACGAAAGAATGGCAGCGCAGAGACTAAACTTTGGGCAAAAGAGAGCTCAAATGAATGAAGGGGATATGCTTCGACCGTCTATAAGCGTAATTAAAATGTTTTTTTTGTGAGGCTCATTACCATACGAAACATGTGTGCTGGGGACATCTGCAATGGCATCGCTTTGCTTTTAGACGGAATGGGAAGTTCTATTAATGATCATTGAACACGACATATTACAGGCGCTCTTTGCGTTTGCGCCTCTTGGCAGGACCGGTTTGGTAGTTGTGCAAGTGCTGTATCACACACCCCTACGCTAGTTTTGGGGAGTCTAAACCTGTTGCCACCACACGCACTGTTCAACGCTTTCGTATGCATACTGCAACTAAATACATATTGCAGCACCCCGCTAAAATGCAGCTACGCGCCCTGCCAATTCCGTGCCTGTCTTTGCTAGAGCGTAAAATAGCAGGCCTGGGCTTTGACAAGCGCCATGGAGGCGTACTCACTCGTCACTGCCCCACTGGCATGCGAAATGGCGCCGTTTGGAGACTGATGTCATTAGACAATCGTTCTTCCTTTTAAGGTTCTCACGATTGCTGACTGCGCAACTCCGCTTGGCAGCATTGAAATTGCATGCTCTCCACATTTACGTAACAATAAAATTTCACCTCCGTAATTCAGATTGTGCTTAATTTCTGCGAACGTTGATGTAGGAACATTCCAACATCCGTGCCCGCCATATCTGAGGCGGAATCAACGAAATTGATTCCTGTCTGTCGGACAAAACGGTCTGCGAAGCTCACACTGCATCTTGGTATTTTGGGACCGATAAGATCGCAAAAAATCGTTACACAGGTTTTCGGTCTGAACACATTCTGGTGTCTAGGGCCACTAAACGGCCATGGTTTCATGTTAGGGTACTCTGCCGCGTGTCTGGGGCGCGCCGGGGGACGATGAACAGGGAACGACCCATGAGAACTCCACCGTGACTGCAGTGTCCAGGGGAGTGTGGTACGGATGGAGAGGGCTGCGACGGGGTTTGAATGGCGGCGGGCCGTGTACGGCTGCAGCAGAGGAGGCGTCGCTCGGCTGGCGCCAGAGCGGAGGGCGGAGGGTGTGCCGCCTGACTGCCGCGGTATGGGGACGGCGAGAGCTGCCATGGCCCGTCTCTGACCCGGTTGGGTGCGGTGGGGAGGGGCGCATGGCTGACCCCGTTCCGGCACGTCCTGCAGCCAGCCGGATGGACGGCTGGGTGTCAGGGACGCTGCGTTATGGCCCGCCGGCGCCTCGCCGCCGGCAGCCAGCCAGTCGGGCCGACGAAAATTGCGGACAATTGCTACATAAGGATTTTGATAGCCAGTTCAGCGACCTATTCGGAGTAAAGTAATTATAGTTTAAATGGTATTTTTGTTGTAATCAGGCACTGAATTGGCGGTAATTAAACGCCGGTCCACAGCATTTCCGAAAATTGTAACGCTGTAGTAGTCAAACCTGAAACGCGGCACTTGGCTATTTTCAGATTGTGTTCAGTCCAGGGCTTTGTATTACTTCCAAAGCGACCCTTGTACGTAGGCCGGTCGGGTGCAGGGCAATCGGTCCTATTTTTTCGTCTGATCGTAAGGGACAGCATCGGGCTGTAAAGCTGCCAGCGCCGCCCGGTAACGGGGCGCGATGGGGACGGACTCCTCTTCACCGGACGCCCTGACCCCCGCCTGACCTCCACTCCTGGTGGACCGGTGTGACCTTGGTGGGGCCGTGACCGCGTGACGCGTCAGGGGCCTCCGACGGCGCGTGGCGCCGTGGGCCAGCGCTGACCGGTTGTCCCGGAACCGACCTGTGCAGTCATACCAAGCCAAAGTGACGAGGGTGTTAGTTCAGACAGCCGCACTGGCTCAAGAGGGACAATTATTGGTGTGGATGGCTGCAAAGGTCGGGTCCTTAGCTCTCTGCCCTGACGGCCTCCCCGTCCGCCGCCCTGACCATCGCTTTGCCCACCGCCGTGACCCCGATCTGACCGCGCCACCACCCTAACCGCCGCCCGATTTCAGCCGAGCTGGGCGACTACGATCCCGATGAGCACTCGGCGGCCACCATCTCCGAGTTCCGCTTCGTGCCGGAGCAGACGGAGGAGATGGAGGAAGCCGTGCTGGAGCAGTACAAGACGCTGACGTGAGTACCGGCGCCGAACGCGTCACCCGCCCGCGCCAAGCCCAGCAGACGACGGACCGCGGCGCGGCGCGGCGACGACTCGAGGGTCGGCTGACGGCGCGATTTATGACCGCGCCAGCCGGCCGGGCGTTCTTTGACCGCGCCGTTCGCCTCGCCGACCCGGCGCTGCACGTGCCCCGAACGGCGCCGCCCGGTGAAAGCCTGGCTGTGCAGCGCGCCCGGCGCTGGGGGTCGGCCGCCGCGGCGCCGTCGCCCGCACGGATTGACGACGGTCGAGTGGGCCGCGCACGCGATCGGCCCAGACAGCGGCCGCTGAGCGCGGCAGACGATGCCGCCGATAGCGCGCGTGTGCCAGAGCCGGCGGCGTGCTGACGCCGGCGGCGGATAGCTGGCTAGGCGGCGGCGGGGAGGCGGCGGCGGCGGCGGCGGCGGCGGCCGGTGCGGGGCGCGGCCCGTCCACCTGCGCGCTCCGCGGGGTGTGGACGCGAGCCAGACGGAGCAGACGGACATCAGGAGAGCGGCGCCCCTCCTGCGGCCCGGGGTCGCCTGTCAGTCACGGAGCGCGCCGGCGCGGCCGCGCCGTCGGCGGCAACGCCCCCGCCGTCTTTGTTGTGACCGGCGTGACCAAATTCGGCGTCGGCCGCCGCCGCGCCGTGCCGCGCCGGCCGGCGGCCGGGTAAGCCGCGGCGCCTGAGCGGCCGGTCCGGCAGGCCGGGATTGCCGGCAGGATGTTCCAGGTACTGGCGTGCCGGACGTGCTGCGGGCGCCGCGCCGCTGGCGGACGTGTCTGCGGTCTTCCGCTGGACCCTGGCTGAGATGACTCCTCTCCGGCATGAGGACGGCGGCAGTGGAGCCGGCGGCGTCCATGCCGTGTCGCCGCTGGTGGTCGCGCCGGCGTTCTGTTTACCTCCGGCCGGCCGGTCGTGCCGGCAGCTGCGATAACAGGTTTATCGTGCGCGTCGCCGGTGCCTGTGTGGCCGGCGGACGATGCCGCCGCCGCCGCCGCCGACCGACCGCATCAAAACGCGTCCCTAATTAGATTTGCCGGGCGGGCCGGCCGGCCGGTAAAAACTGCCAGCGCGCGGCGCTGTGTCCCGCCGCGTGGCGGTCCCGGCTGGGGTGGGGCTCTGCAGGTTGCGAGCCACGCGCCCGCCGCCCGCCGCCCGCCGCCCGCCGCCCGCCGCCCGAGCGCCCGCCGCCCGAGCGCCCGCCGCCCGGCACCGTTACTCGGCTCCTCGTCGCTGCCTGCATCCGCGGCACGAAGTGGGCCGGCCGTCTGGACGGCGGCGGCGCGGCGTCCGGGCGGATACGGCGCCGGGCCAGGTCTGCGGAACTGGTCGGCGAGATACCGCAGCCGCCGACCGACCAGCCGATGAGAACCGGCAGCGCTGGTCCGTCACGCGGCTGTCAGCAGGTGATAGTTCCACGGCACGGCACGGGCCGCCCCGTGTACGCCGGCCGCCGCCGCGCACCGCTGCACACAGCCGCGCAGCGAAGGCGCGCAGTTCATCGGCTGATGTCACCGCCGTGTCATTGTTCCGTAGATCCTGTCCTTTCACCACCGCGGCGGCTGTTTTCCTTAGGCCTCCGCCGAAATGCATGTGCTGGATGTTTCCCGCTCGTGCTGGCGTGACGACAGCCTGCCGCTGCCGGGCGGTCGGGGGGCCGCTCTGGCTGCCGTCTCCCTGCATGGCGTATCGATTATCGGTGTCGCCGCACCTTTTCATTAGTGCCGTCTCGTTCTCCCCCTGTTGGGTGCGCCGTCATTGATTTTGGCATCACGTGGCTGGCGAGGTGCTGCGCCCCTACACGGCGGCGGCGGCGGCGGCCGGCTTCAATTAGCTGCTGAATATGACGCCCAGTCCCGACCGCGTGCTCCGTCCCTATCAGTGCCCAATTCATTGTGGTCTTGCGCCTCGTGAGACGTTTGTCAGGCTTCAGGGTTTTGGCATTGCACAATTTTTGTGGAACCTGGAGACGTCCGCTTTATGGCTGTCTGGCTGGTCGGTCGGTGGTCGGTGGCTGTTATATGGCTGTCTGGCGCGAGCTAGCGTTGCTCTGTGGCCGTCCAACCACAGCCGGTGGCCCTTGACCGGGCCGGGCCGACCGCGAACGCTGACGAGTGGACGGCGGTAATGGGCCGTAATGACAGGTGCCAATCGCTGATGATGTCACGTCACGGCCCCGCCCTCTGTCATCGCCTCCTCCCCTCCCCCCCCCCCCCCGCCAGCCTGGTGAGCAGAGCACGCTAGAGACCTTTGCAAGTTGGGCTGTCCCGTTGACTCTCCCCGTCCTCTTGCGCCGTCTCGTTCCGTTCGCTGTTTGTCCCGGTCTCTTCGTCAGCCTGTATCTCCCACACGGGTGGCATTGGATTGGAGCGTCCGTGCTCCGATCAGTCGTCAGGATCGCGTCCTGGCCACTGGCCCATTTAAACGGAGCGGCGCGTTCCTTGGCGTACGCCGCCGTGAATGCGGCCCCAGACCGAGCCTGTCGCCGCCACCGCCGACTGGGGCCGGCGTCGGCGCGTCCTGGCGACGGCCCGTGCGCGCGCGCGCGCGCGCGTGCCGCACGACGCAGACGTTACCGGCGCGGGGTCGGTGCTCTCGTCCTCCGCCGCTGCTGCCAGCGGGCGCCTCACGCCTCCTTTGTGCGCGGTGTACGCGGAGCGGCGCCTGCGTACGGCGGTGGTGGCCGTGGTGGGAACGATGCCGCCCGCCGCGCGCCCGGGCCCGGGCCCGCGGGGCCGGTTAATGGGCCAGCCGGCGGCGGGCCTGTGGCGGCCGGCTGGCCTTGTCACCGCCGCGCGCACTGCCGGCGGCGGCGGCGCGCTTTAAAAATGGCGCGCCGGCGTCACCGGCACGGTGACGTGGGCGATGGCGTTCACCGGCCGAGGCCGGCCGACGTGCAGCGAGCCGTGCTGCGCCAGGCCGTGGACGCACGCCGACTCTGGACGGGTTCGTCAGTGTCCCGTGTCCACCCGCCTCGCCGGCTGGGCGACGCGCTGTCTGCCTCCGTGGCGTCCGCGCGCGTGGGCTCGGGTGGGGTGGAGCGCCGACAGTTCAGCGTTAGCTAAGAGCTGGATGGGCCGACCGCCGGATGCAGGTTCCACGCTGGGCCGTCAATGAGTCAAATCAGTCAGATGACTGGCTGGGAGGAGGGGGAGTCTGCCGCCGGCGGCGCAGTTTCACCGTGTCTGTGAGCAGCGGGGGCGGTCTCCACGTGTCTGCGAGCGGCCTGGTGCCGCTGTCTCGGCGTGTCTGACTGTGAGCGAAGGGAGGGCGGGTCGGTGCCGCTGTCTCGGCGTGTCTGACTGTGAGGGAAGGGAGGGCGGGTCTGTGCCGCTGCGGTGCCGCTGTCTCGGCGTGTCTGACTGTGAGCGAAGGGGGGGGGGGGGTCTGTGCCGCTGCGGTGCCGCTGTCTCGGCGCGTCTGACTGTGAGCGAAGGGAGGGGGGGGGGGGGGGGGTCTGTGCCGCTGCGGCGCCGCTGTCTCGGCGTGTCTGACTGTGACCGAGGGGAGGGCGGGTCTGTGCCGCTGCGGTGCCGCTGTCTCGGCGTGTCTCGGCGTGTCTGACTGTGAGCGGAGGGAGGGCGGGTCTGCGCCGCTGCGGTGCCGCTGTCTCGGTGTGTCTCGGCGTGTCTGACTGTGAGCGGAGGGAGGGCGGGTCTGTGCCGCTGCGGTGCCGCTGTCTCGGCGTGTCTCGGCGTGTCTGACTGTGAGCGGAGGGAGGGCGGGTCTGTGCCGCTGCGGTGCCGACTCGCGTGTCAAGGCTCCCGGTCGACGCCGCTCCCAGGCCGGTGGGAACGTGCCGCTTGCCCAACAGGCCGGCGGTCACCGCTGCCGTGCGAGCGGCCTCTGGTGAGCACACGGCTGTCGGGCCGCCGGCGGCTGGCGCTGCTGGACTGGCGGACGCCTCGGGCCGCAGCACCTCCCTGCAGCCATTTAGCGATGCGTGAATAGCCAGGCACCGTGTTGGTGCCAGACGTCTTGGCTGCCACCACCAGCTTAGCTGGCGGCGTAGCAGGGGTGATAGATTGGTGCTTTTCAGCCGGTTACTCATCTGGTGCGCCCTGACGGCGAGTGACGTTACGATTTGAGCAAGGATGGAAAGGGTAGCAAAAAGCATTCAAGTTCAAGCACCCCGCAAATTTGGGGCCTGAGATAGTTGCTATTGTGAGCGGAATGTTCACCGCATTTCTTCCTCAGATTTCTTGCGTTCACGGACTTGAAACTTAAGTTTATTTTCGCTTTCAGTACTAAGGCAATGCCATCCGACACTTGATTCCCCTCGGGGTTCCACGCCCGCTGCTCGTATCAGTCGACACTGGAGACGCTCTCGGGAGGCGGTGGCCGATGTTCGTCACCTTCTGAGCGGTGTATGTCACCTTCTGAGCGGTGCTCTCCGTTATGCCGGAATGAAGAGCTGACGAGACGTGTCTATTGTGCAGCGAACTGCGCTCCGGCTGGGGCGCCCGTTACGCAGTAAGAAACGTAGCCTTCACATAGCGTTATGCAGGGTTTCGTGGTTGCAGCGCGCGTCATGCAAGCAGGTTTTGCCGTGTCCAATCACTAATAAGGTTTTAACGCCGTTCGCACGCAGTCCGCCGCTGGCACTCCCAGGAATAACTGGGCAGTTGGCCCACGGTGGACGCTACATGCGTTGGGTGACGGACGACAAATGTGTAGTGTGATCCTGAGCACGTTAAACCGGTTGATAAATGTTTACGGAGGTTTTGTGCCTGGCGGTGCAGAGAGCTTGTTTGAGGCCGACAGGTCCGGCGGAACAAATACTCAAACTCACGCGTAAAGGGGCGTGACTATTTGTTGTGTTGTGTTTGTAGAAGGCGAGCCCTCAGCATTATATGCAGCAACGTGCATATGTCAGCTACGTCTATGTTGCTTCGAATGTTGCTTCGAAAGGAAATTTTTCCGCTAGGTGTGGCACGTCGTGATCTGCCACACGGGAGCTCAGAATCCGGTGAAGCGCACGCGCTTGTGATC